TCCCTCCCTCCTCTGCCTCCTTCCTCCCTTTCTCACGTCTCCTCCCTCCCTTCCTTCCTCCTTCCCTCATGTCTCCTTCCTTCCTTCTTTCCTCCCTCCCTCTCTCCTCTGCCTCCCTCCTCCCTTTCTCACGTCTCCTTCCTTCCTTCCTTCCTTCCTCCCTCCCTCCCTTTCTTCCATCTTTTTGCCTCCCTCCCTCCTTCCGTTCCTTCCTTCCTTCCCTTTCTCTCTCTTTCTGCTCCTTCCTTCCCTTTCTTCCATCTCTTTTTCTTCCTTTCTCCTGTCCTTGCTTCCCTTCCTCCTTCCTTCCTACCATCTCCCTATTCCTCCCTTCCTTCTGCCTCCCCTCCCTCCCTCCCTTTTCCTTCCTTCCTTCCTCTCCCTTACCTTCCCTCCTTTTTTCTCTTCCTTTCTCTCTTTCTGGTTCCTTCTCTTTTCCTTCCCTCCTTTTCCTTCCTTCCTTCCTTCCTTCCTTCCTTCCTTCCTTCCTTCCTCTCCCCTTCCTCCTTTTTTATCTTCCTTTGTCTCTCTTTCCCCTTTCTTCTCTTTTTCTTCCTTCCTTCCCTTCTCCCTCTCTCCCCCTTTCCTCTTCCTCCCCCTCCTTTCTCTCTCCCCCCCCCCAACTGCCCACGTCTAACATTCAGGGATTCTAGGATCAAGGAAAAGCAAGGGGAATTCGCTTTTGTGGCATTTTAATACGGTAGCAATACTGATTTCCCCAGGAAGCCAAAAAGAAAAGTTTTATTGGATCGTCTGTGGTGAAGTAGCAAAAAGATGTCCAACCCCCCAAAAATAAAATAAATGAATTTTCATGTCCAATTAATAGGATGCTCCTGGAAGATTTCCCCCTCGTGGGGAAAACTAAAACCACATCTGGTGTTAATTTTTGGCAGGAGAAATAGGCAGGGCTGGTATCAGTTCGTAGCCAGCTGGTTTCAAAGTTTTCCAGCACTTTAACACGGATATTTTAAAACCTCAGAGGCCCCGTTTGGTCATTTTCCTTCAAGAACATGCTCTTAAAAAATCCAGCCTCAGCCAGGGTGTTTCCTTTCCTTTGTGGTACTTCAAGGCTGGGCTTCAAATTAGAGGGGGGAAGCACCCTTCATTCAAATAATTTAAAGAAAATGTTTTTCTGGTGATGTCAAGGCACCCCACAAAAAAGAAAAACACCAAATTTAACCTATTGAGAGCCTCCATATATATATATATATATTAATCTTGCTCTCCAACCTTTTTGCTTAAGTTCCACCTTGGAAGATGTCAAATTTAAGAATTTAAGAACTGCATCCTTCGGTGGGAAGACTTCCAGGATGGGGGTTGCATAGATGACCTCTAGGTTCTTCACATGGAGGTAAACTTGACTCTCTTTGCAACTGACTCCCATGTTTTTTCCCCCCTTCCCTAGTTATTGACCTCCTGACTGTCACCGAAACTCGACAGATGACCAACGTTGCAAACAAAATCCGGACGGAGGTTTTATCTGTCCATGATATGTACCTTTTATCGACTTTTCACCTGCCCCCCAAACAAGGGGGGGCCCTGTTTGGCCTTTACTACAAGAAGGATAACAGCCGTTGGTTTGAAGTCTCTGTGGTTGGCAAGACGAATAAAGGTGAGAGAGAGAGAAAGAAAGAGGAAGGAAGGTAGAAAGGAAGAAAGAAGGAGGGAGGAGGGAGGGAGGAAGAGAAAGGAAGGAAGGAAGAAAGGAAGAGAGGAAGGAAGGAAGACAGAAAGAAAGAAACCAAGAGGAAAGGAGGAAGAAAGGAAGAGAAAGGAAAGAGGAAGAAGGAAGGCGGAAGAAAGACAGAAAGAAAGAGAAAGGGAGGAAGAAAGGAAGGAAGAGGAAGAAAGTCAGAAAAGAAAAAAGGAAGGAAGGTAGAAAGGAAGAAACGAAGGAAGACAGAAAGAAAGAGAAAGGGAGGAAGGAAGGAAGAAAGAGGAAGGAAGTCAGAAAGGAAGAAAGAGGAAGGAAGGTAGAAAAGAAGACAGGAAGTAGGAAGGAGGGAAGAAGAGGAAGAAAGGAAGGAAGTCAGAAAGGAAAAAAGGAAGGAAGGTAGAAAGGAAGTAGGAAGGAGGGAGGGAGGGAGGGAGGGAGGAAGACAGAAAGAAAGAGAAAGGGAGGAAGGAAGGAAGGAAGAGGAAGGAAGGGAGAAAGGAGGAAGGAGGGAGGGAGGAAGAGAAAGGAAGGAAGGAAGGAAGACAGAAAGAAAGAGGAAGGAAGGAAGAGAAAGAAAGAAACAAGAACGGAAGGAAGGAGATAGGAAGCATGAGTGATGGATAGGTGATAGGGAAGGAAATAGTGGACTTATCAGGTAAACCGGATGATGGGAATAAGGGGTGATTAAGGGAATAATTAGGGGCATGGATAAGAGATAGAAGCGTGTGTTTATAACTTTCAAATACCACTGTAAGGCAGAAGCTTCCAGTGCTAACCTAGATCGGCTGGGATACCATTCTTGTCGGATAGAAAATTTGCTTTTTGACATTAAAAACCCTTGAAACCTGCTTTCTGCTCTGCATGGCGGTTTGTGTGCAAATCTGCAAGTTTTCAAAGCGGCTGAGATTCGGCTGCTTAACAATTATCTGAAGCATTTAAGGAATGCACTGCTTTCCCTCCCACTCCCTTTCGGCTAGCAACGAAAAAGACCAAAGGAGAATTATTTTTTTTAGTTGACATGTGACCTGCAATCCATCTCCTGTCTTCCCCTTGTGCACAGTCCTCATCCGATACCTACGTGCCGACGGGAAACTCCACTCGGTCAACTTGCAGAATTCCAACCTGTCGGATGGACGCAGCCACACGCTCCTCCTGCGGGTTGGCGGCCTGAAGGCCAGCAGCCTGTCCTTGGAACTGTACGTGGATTGCAAGCTGCTGGACTCCCATAAGGGGCTGCCTGAAATGGCGTCGATTGACCAGGAAAAAACCGAAGCCATCGAAGTGAGAACAGGACAGAAAACGTATCTTCGGATGCAGGTGAGAACACAGCCTACCCTCCTACCACAGTCGGTGCAATAGAGCGTATAAATGCAGGCAGGAAAAGAACAGCATAAGTTCAACATCTCCGCAGTGAAAATCCAGTCCAGGAAACTTCTATTTCACCAGGAATTTTTATTTTTCCAATCGAGCGTGCAGGCGGTGGGGAAAAACACAAGCAGGATATGTGTCTTTCCACCGATGGCTGTTCTTCCTCTCCTGATATTTTAGGGGTCTCTAGAATCGCTCAAACTGATCCTCGGAGGGTCTCTCGGCCGCATTGGAGCCTTGAGCGAGTGTCCATTTCAAGAGGACGAATCCATGCAGAACACGGGTAAGTTGACAATCCAAAAAAAAAAAAAAGTCCCTCCTTGGGGTGGGATTTCAGAAAACCAGCAGGGCGCTTGGTTCTCAATCGATTAATCAGAATAGAGCTGGAAGGGACCTTGGAGGTCTTCTAGTCCAACCCCCTGTTTAAGCAGGAGATGGAGACCCAGCCTATACCATATCAGACCAGGTTAGTTTCCACCCATTGCTTCTTGTCCTGCCGTCAGGTGCTTTGGAAAATAGCTTGACTCCCTCTTCTTTGGGGCAGCCCCTGAGATATTGGAAGACTGCCCTCCTGTCTCCCCTGGTCCTTCTCTTCCCTAGACTAGCCATGCCCGGTTCCTGCAACCGTCCATTGTATGTTTGAGCCTCCAGTCCCCAATCATCTTTGTTGCTCTTCTCTGCACTTTTTCTAGAGTCTCAACATCTTTTTCAGTGATTGCATGACCTCTGTAGATGCCGTGTGCTAAATAGATAGATAGGTGAGAGAGAGAAAGAATAGAAAGAAAGAAAGAAAGGGAAAAAAAGAGAAAAAAGAAGGAAGGAAGAAAAGGAAAGAAAAAGAAAGGTAGAAATGAAATGAAACAAAAGAAAGAAAGAAAGAAAAAAGGAAGGAAGAAAAAAGAAAGAAAAAGGAAGGAAGGAAGGAAGATAGAAATGAAATGAAACAAAAGAAAGAAAGGAAAGAAAGAGGAAAAAAAGAAGGAAGGAAGAAAAAGAAGAAGGAAGGTAGAAATGAAATGAAATGAAATGAAATGAAATGAAAGAAAGAAAGAAAGAAAGAAAGAAAGAAAGAAAGAAAGAAAGAAAGAAAGAAAGAAAGAAAACTGAGTAGAGGCCCTGATTTCTAACAGAGTCCTATTTTCGGTGAGTTGTTTGATTCTTTGAAAACTTGCTCTCATGTTTTTTTATTGTCTTCCACCCTTCTCTCTCTCTCTCTTTTCTTTTTTCTTTTTCAGTATCCAACGTGATCAATTCTCTCTTTGGTGAGTTCAAAGACAGACGGGGTCTTGAGCTAGATAAGAATGGGCCGAAAAGCAGAATTAACAAGGGTTGTTGTTGTTTTCCTTGTTACACCTTTGTGCGACAGGTGAACAAACCAAGGCCCTTGTACGGCAACTCACCCTTTTCAACCAAATTCTGATGGAACTTCAAGAGGACGTGCGAGATCAGGTATAATTGGAGGGTTAAGAAGAACGGCACAAGGCCCCCGACTTACGACCACAAAATGAGCCCCCAAGGTCTGTCATTAAGCAAGACACTTTTGAAATCAGTTTTGCTCTTTTACGACCTTTCTCGGCCCAGGCGTTAAGTGAATCCCTGCCATTGATAAGTTAGGAACCCGGTTGTTAAGCGAATCTGGCTTCCCCGTGGACTCGGCTCGTCAGAAAAAGGGCATCGCGTGATCCCAGGACATAAATATGAATCCGTTGTCAAAAAGTCCATTAAGAGTCGAAATACTAAAAAGAACAAGAGATGATGGATAGATACAGAATAGCTCTTAACATGGGATTTGCTTTATTAAGGGTTAGGAAATAGAGGTAGAGAAGAGAAATTGGGAAAAGGTTATTTTGTGTACTGCCAAATAATATAATATATTATAATTACTATCTTTACGTAAATGTTAGAAGTTGAAAGATTATTGCCATGTTGTCAGAATTCCGGCAGTCACCCCAATTAAATCATGAATCTTGAGCCAAACTTCCAAAATTTCAAAAAGGATTTATTGGGTGTTAACATGTCAGCACTGCCTGGGTGTAGCCGACTCTGAAACAGATAACTCATTGTCACCCTTTAACCCTGTTCACTAAGCATTTAGGTATGCCCAAGAAAAAAAAACCATAACTAAAATTATAAAAATAAATAAATAAATATACATCCGTTGCCAAGGGTCTGAATTTTGAACACGGGGACCCGGCAACGGTCATAACTGTGAAAAACTGATCCCTTTTTTCAGGGCCATTGTCACTTTTGGTCATTAAATGAACGGTTGTAAGTCGGAGGCTATCTGTATTCATTCCCAAAGGACCAAAAGTAGTCATTTCTGGTTAAATGGCGGCTTAGCACAAATCAGGAAGTCTTTTCATCTGGTATTTATTTATCCCAATCCTGTATTGCACAGGAAAAGTCTGATTTCGGCGATCCGGAACAAACGTAATTTCTAACGTTGGATTTTCCCCATCACCAGGGAGAGCTTCCTTGTGGAGTATTGTAAAGCCGTTACCATGGCAACTCCATAGCGCTGTGCAGTAGAAGCCATTTTAAGGCAGTACGGTAGAAGCCATTTGAAGGCACAACAGGCTGTATCTTAAGAACACACACCCCGAGGGGTGTTAGGGGTGTCTTACCCCCACACAGTATTTGTTTCCAGACAGTAAGTCATCTGTGTACCAAGTTTGGCTGAAATTACTCGAGGAGTTATACACATATTTATATTTATATTTTTCCGTTCCAGGTGAAGGAGATGTCTTTAATACGGAACACCATTATGGAGTGCCAAGTATGTGGTGAGTTACCCCAAGAGGGTTACTGAGATCTTCCAGCACATAGAAGTGGATTTTGCCTCAATAAATGTCCTTAAAATTCAGTTTTTCACCTCCCGTCTTGGCTTATAACCATCTGTTTAATGACCGTTCACAGAGATGACGGTAAGTGCTAAAGGGAGGGACTTCAGGACCAACCCTTGAAGTTTAATAAGGCTTTCTAAGGAATGGTTGATAAGACAATCCTCAACTTACAACCATTCATTCAGTGTCCATTCTGCCTGTTTAGTGACCAACTTTCTGCACGTTAAATCTAACAACCGATGGTTAACAGAGGGCTTCGGAGATTAGTTTTATTCTTGGGGGTTATCTGTCGTTGGCTTTTTTAATATACTAGTAGTCCTCGACTTACAACAGTTCGCTTAATGTCTGTTCAACGTTACAACAGCACCAGAAAAAGTGACTGAGGACCACTTTTCACAGTTACGACTGTTGTAGCATCCCTGATCAAAATTTAGATGCTTGGCAGCTGACTCTTATTTATGACGGTTGCAGGGTCCCTGGGGGTGTGTGTGTCACGTTTTGTGACCTAATGAGCAAAGTCAGTGGGGAAGCCAGATTCACTTAACAACCATGTTTCTAAGTTCATGGTTCACTTAACAACCGTGCTAAGAAAGTTCATCAAATGTAGACAAATTCAATCATCGTCTCACTCAACAAGAGAAAATTGGAGCTCCGTTGTGGCCGTAAGTTGAGTAAAAAGCTCGGGAAGGCATGGCTTCAGGCTTCTTGAGGACTAGAACCTTGCCAGACCATCGTGTACCGTTCGAGTTATTATTCCAACCTGCAGTGAATTGAAACCTCCCTTCCCATAGGGTTTCACGAACACCGATCCCGTTGTAACCCAAACCCGTGTTTCGCCGGGGTCGACTGCATGGAGACCTACGAATATCCGGGGTATCGTTGCGGGCCCTGTCCTTCTGGTTTTGAAGGCAACGGCACCCATTGTGCTGATATCAACGAGGTAAAAGATATGTCAACTCAAAAAATATTTCTCTGGTCTTTTAGAGCAGCGGTTGCCAACCGGTGGGCCATCGCCCACTGGTGGTCCGCGAGAAAATTTTGGTGGGCCGCAGATAAATCTCACCCCCAGAGCACCAAAGCAATTAATCCAGGCTGCGCAGAAACACAAGGCCCGTGGGAACCCTCCCCGCCCACTTACTCCTTACCCGGCAAAGTTGCCTGCTAAATTGCTATTTTTCCTTTTTTCCGACCATCAGCTGTTTTGCTGTGCCAGGCGATTTAGATTAGCTAGGAAGCGGGAAATGGTTGGATGTCTTGCTTTCTAGCTGATCTTTAGATCTTCGGCTCTGCTTTTAAGCACAGCCGAACCTCCCTTAGGACTGAAGCAATGCAGACTCAGCTAGCCGATGGCAGAAACACGGATCTCTAAAGGAGGGTGAAGGGTGACAGGGAATTATGTGTCTCAGAGTCAGCTGCACCCCAGGGAGCAGCAGCATGTTCACTCCTAATAAATGATTTTTAAAAAAAACAAAACTCTGAGAGATGTGGCTAGAGACTCATGACTTGAATAGGGGTGGATGGTCAGAACGCTGACAAGATTTTTGGCTCCTGTGATTTGGTAGATGATGATAGATAGATGGAGATAAGTAGAGAAAATTATAGATAGATAGATAGATGATAGATAGATAGATAGATGATAGATAGATAGGTAGATGATAGATAGATAGATAGGTAGGTAGGTAGGTAGGTAGATAGA